CCTTCCTTCCTTCCTTCCTTCCTTCCTTCCTTCCTTCCTTCCTTCCTATCTTGCCTGTCCTTCTTTCCTTCCTTCCCTGTTCTTCCTTCCCTGTCCTTCCTTCCTTCCTTACCCCTCCAATCTTCCTTCCTTCCTTCCTTCCTTCCCTCCCCTCCCTCCCCCTTTCCTTTCCCAGCTTTCCCAAACAATGGGAAAGGTCTGCCCCCTGGTGTCCTACCTTGGCATTTGCACCTTAAAAGAAAAAGGGCGGATATACCCAATGTCTGAAATAGGAGCGCCCCCTGTTGGCTCAGTTCAGCGATCCCTCCAATAAAGGGAAGTTAAAGAAGTGTAGAATCCAGTTTGTGTCAGTCACCAAGACTAAAGATTTGGTCTTCCAAGTTCTTAGAAGAATCTTAGAAGGTAGCCTATCTAGTGGAGAACTGAAGTCCATCTACGCTGGAGCCCATCCTCAGGGAATTTCTCTCTCCCCAAAATGTGTGTCGTAAAGAGTCCCCGAGGGGCTTTTTTCCCCCCAAGAGGCCACTCGACTTTCTGGTTTTCCCTTGAAGAGGTTTCACTTCTCCTCCAAGAAGCTTCTTCAGCTCTGACTGGATGGTGGGGAATGGAAGGATTTATACTGGTTATTTGCATCTTTTAAAGAGTGTCATTAAGGCCACTTGGAGGTTTATTGGTGTCCTCAGGGTCACCTGAGGGGTGCAAGTGAGTGTGGAGCCTCCTTGGAACTGTTGAAAAGACCGTGTTGTACACTGGAGATAGATGAGGTCGTATATCCCTCCCCCCACTCAATTGAGAGAGGGGCCAAGCGGCCTCAACGACTGTCTATAAAAGGATGCAAACGACCAGCTGCCTGCAAGGAGTATAAATCCATCCATCCTCCACCATCCAGAGCTGAAGAAACTTCTTAGATGAGAAGCAAAACGTCTTCAAAGGAAAAACCAAAAAAGGCTAGTTGCCTCTTAGGAAAAAACCTCCTTTGAGACAAACCAGGACCTGGAATGACGGAGAATCTCCATCGACATGTGTGTAAAGAGGTAAACGTTTGCCCTCTGGTGGTTTGGTGGGACAGAGCAGCAACAATTCGGCCCTCTGGTGGATCTTCTTACCCATTGCACCTGTAGAAAGAAAATCAATCTTTTCCTCAAAGTGGTGTTGCTGGTCGCTCATGGCTGGCTGTGAAAATAATATCGATGTCAGATAATAGTGGCTTCCTTTTCAGCAGCCATGTTTCCTGCGTAATTCTTCTTTTAAAATTAAAAATTAAAAGGGTGCATCTATCGACCTGATCTTTGTGTGGGAAGATCACACACCTAAAAAAAAGTCTTTTGAAACACACAAATGGTCCTCGCTTATTAACCATCTACTTATCAATTATTTGAAGTTGTAACAGGCCACCCAGAAGTTACTTAGTGTACCCTGTTCCAGAGTTTCCACAGCTGCACACACACACACACACACACACACACACAAACACACCAACAACATTTTGGGAGCTTGGCCACCAGCTCACTTTTACAACCAGTTGCAACATATGGTGATCACATAACCACAATTTGTGTCATTTCTTTTCTGCCAGTTTCCAGCAAGGTTCCCTTGCAAAAAATCATCTATAGAAATGAACAACCACACACACACAAAAGGTGTAAAATGGTGCGTGGCCTTGACTTGTGACCGTCATGACTTATAATAGAAAGTCAGGGCTCCTTTATGGTCATAACTCAAGGACTACCTGAATCTTTCCCACAAGATTTCACTAAAGTGGAAGGTTGTTTGCAAGCTACACAAACAGGAGATGAGAAAGGGAGGTTGATGGAAGCTAATCAAGGAGAGGAGCAACCTAGAACTAAGGAGAAATGTCTTAACAGTGAGGACAATTAACCAGTGGAACGACTTGCCACCAGAAGTTGTGGATTCTCCATCACTGGAGGGTTTCCAGAAGAAATTGGACCACCAATTGTCTGAAATGGTGTAGGGTTTCTTGCTTGAGCACGGGGCTGGATTTGAAGATATCCAAGGCCCTTCCAACTCCTTTCTTCTGATATTTATTAGTCAGTCTATCCTTTGAGTAGGAGACTCAAGGGAACAAAATTGAAAACATCTAGAAAGAGAAGAAAACGGAGTTTCAACTGTTGAAACAACAAAGTGAAATGGGATGTCAGAAACATCTGAACCCTAATTCCCACCTCATCTGTGGTGATCAACATGGACCTTTCCTTGTTTGTTCTGAGCACTTGTTGTATCCAGACATTGCACCGAATGTACTGTATTGTCTCTTCGGTTGATTTGGAGTGACATGTATCAAAGGTCAACCTAACAACAACAACAAAAAAACCCAAACAACTGTCAACAACACCAGAGTCATCTGATAGGACTCGGGGAGGGGAAAAAACCCCAAGAGAATTGATGGAATTGTTCAAAAAGTAGGCGAATTGGGTGTTGTGTTAGATTCTGATGGTTGGTCTGGGTTGGTTTCAAACTTCCAAGTGCCAGTGGAGTGTCCGCCATCAAGATGGACTTCAGTTCTCCATCAGATACCGTCTAAGATTCTCCAGAGGTTGAAGGAATTGCTCATCTTCTGAGGAAGGGTCTCAAGATGAGCTTCTTTTGGGACTGAGTAGAAAGGGTTCGAACTAGGAAGGCTGAAGACCTTCAAGTGAAGACCGTAGGTAGGAGTTTATGCTGGACATTAGTCCTGGTGACCTCAACACAAACGCAAATCAGTCTCCACATATCTGAGGATTGAAATTGGGGAGAATTGGCTTCCCCTTCCTCCTCCTCCTCCTCCTCCTCCTCCTCCTCCTCCCCCCTCCCCCTCCTCCTCCTCCTCCTCCTCCTCCTCCTCCTCCTCCTCCCCTTCTTTCTCTACTTTTCCTTCCCACCAGCTCACTGCCTTCTTTTCTACTTTCTTTATTTCCTTCCTTCCTCCCTCTTTTTACTTTCCTTCCTTTGTCCCTCCATCCCTCTCATTCTCTCTTCTTTCCCCCTTTCTCTCCTCTTCCCTCCTCCCCTTCTTTCTCTACTTCTCCTTCTTCCTTCCTCCCTCTTTTCCACTTTCCTTCATCCCTCCCTCCCTCTGTCTTCCTCCCTTCTTCTCATTCTCTCTTCCTTCCCCTCCTCTTCCTCCTCTCTCCTCCCCTTCTTTCTCTAATTCTCCTTCTCACCAACTCACTGCCTTATTTTCTACTTTCCTTCTTTCTTTCCTTCCTCCTTCTTTTCCACTGTCCTTCCTTCAACCCACGCTCTGTCTCCCTCCCTCCTTCTCATTCTCTCTTCCCTCCCTCCCTCTCTTCCTTTACTCCTCCCTTTCTCCTTTTTCTGAATTGCAACACTCACAACTATACCCTTAGTTTCATAAACTATCATTCATACACCAGACTTGGAGGCTGTGAAAACCTTTGGGATTTCAAGTCGCCTCCCTGAAATTCCAGACAAAAATCACAATGCCAGTTGAAGATGTTATACACAGATGAATTTATTAAAGGCTGCTGATGGTTTTGCTAGAAATCAACAATTACTTCCAATTTCTTGCAAAAAAAACCCCACACACTTTTCTTTTCTTTGCTTAAGAACCACAGAGTTCACTCATCCTTTTTGCTTTATGATTGCTGTGTCTGTTTAACAATTTCTGTAAAAAAAGTGAATAAAATTAGGCCTGGTCATGTGTGGATCTGATTTTTGACCGTCACAACTTAGAACTCTAGTTACAGGACTCAGTTATAGTTCTAATTTGAGAACTGTTCCTCTTGGTTTATGCATTTGGGGAAAGAAATCTTGTTCTTTGGATATTTGAAGATTTCACTGTCTTTTCTCACCTGACTTTGATTTTTTGGGGGGTTGACTTATCCATAATTATTCTTGCACAAAGCTAAAGGGGTTATATTCCTTCAAAAACTTCAAAAAATGTATTAATGTATCAATAATGATTGATATTATGAGCCTCTTCATCTAGATGTCATAATTTTATATTGTGATGTTATAATTGATGAGTATAATTTTACTGCTGTTTTTAATGCTATGTCTATACTGGCTTAAACTGCAGGCACATAATATGTTCATTTAATGCTTACTACCAGGAGTACTAACCATGCGATTCATGCATATAAAAGCACAGAAGAGAATTTGGGGAGTGAGGAAGAAAATACAAGATTCCAACAGAACAGAATAGTTGTAACTTATGGTTAAAATAAGGAGTCCTTGGTGCTTTCGCAGACTTGGTTGTTCTCTTGCAGATGTTTCATGACCCAACTAGGTAATATCATCAGTGCTAGTGGGGTTTGCTTGCCCTGTCAGTGCTGGTAGGAATGGCTGCTTGGCATTGGTACTTGACAAACAATCAAGAAGGTGTTGTTTACTTCTTGATTGTTGGTCTAGTATTAATCTTGGTGTTAAACTCTGTTCATAGAGTGTCGAATGCTGGTGAGAGGGTGGTTTCCTTGGGTAAACAATACCCCAATTAAGGAACTAGCAATGCAGACAAACAAGCTTACAGCAAACAATGGCTTAATCCAGGAACCACCAGGAATCTCCCACCAACACTGACAGGGCAAACCACTAGTATATAAAAGTAAAAGCTAACTCCTTTCTCCTCTAGCACTGATAATGTTACCTAGTTGGGGCGTGAAATGTCTGCAAGCAAGCGACCAGGCTCAGAAGGCCCCAAGGAAGCCACAGTCCTCTTTCTCCTCCTCCTCCTCCTCCTCCTCCTCTGCAAACCCCACTCCTTCTAGCACTGATGATGTTACCTAGTTAGGTCATGAAACGTCTACAAGAAAACCAGCAAGCTGAAAGAGCACTACGAGTGACAAAATGGCTGAACCCTAAATGTGAGGGGCAACGGACCCCCCCAAAACTGGGGAACCTTATGGCTTCTTCCATTTGCCCATTTGATTCAAAGCTCCAGCCACTGAATTTCTGAAAAATGAAATTCAGGAGGTCCGGTTCAGAGGTGGCATTCAGCAGGTTCTGACTAGTTCTGAAGAACCGGTGGTGGAAAGTTTGAATAGCTCCGAGTGGGGAGGGAATGGAGAACCGGTAGTAAAAAAAATTTGAATCCCACCACTGGTCCAGTTGAACGGTTGAGTTGGAGGCCTTCAAGCCAAGCTACTTTCCTTCTCCCTCCACCAACGATTTTGGAAAACCACCCCGTCTCAAAAGGTCTGAACTGATGATACAACTGATCCAATGGAAATGGTACAGAGAGCCAAGTTCTGGGTGTAATCAAATGTGATATGAACCTCCTGGGTTTTGACTGGTGATCTGGATGGATTTGAAGGACCAAAGACGACCGGAGTAAGAGACGAGGTGCAGATTTACATCTAACAGGTGCCTGATGGCCAGTAAAAGGAATCCAGAACCACGTTGCCTTGAGTTTCATAGCTCAGGTGGTTCCATCCGATCATGGATGGATTGTAACTAGAGAAGTCATTCACAGTATAGTTCCACATGTATACTTGCTGGATCTCTCCCTGGAAGAAGATGTCCTCATGATGGGCTCGCCCAAGCTGGACCAAAGCGTGGGGTCTGATGAAGTAACCTTGACGCACCACCTTCCTGGCCAACTTCCTTCCATTGAACTCAAAGGTGAGGACACCTGACTCCGATGCCCATTTGATGCAGATCCGCTGCCAGTCTTGGTAGGCATCCGGGACTCGGAAGCGCTGAGGAACGCCACCGATGTAGACGGTGTACCACCAAAAGCCATCCAGGCCATGAACCTTATAAATCAAGATTTCCTTGTCTTGGTCTTTGGTGGCGTAGGAGAACAGGGCCTGTTTGGACGGCGAGTCGGAGAAAGAACAGAGGCAGATGGTGATGTTCTGGAGAAGGTCATGAGGCTGCTCCATCTCCAAGGTGACGTAGCCTTTGTGGGAGAAGACGAAGGAATAGCCCTCCAGATCTGGGGGAACGGAAAGAGAGAAGCCAAGTTGATTTGGGTTGTGTCTTAATCAGGGGTCGGATTCTACCTGGTCAGACTGGTTCTATAGAACCAGTCGTTATTGGAGAACCGGCAAATCATGCCACTGGCTGGCTCTACCCCTCCCCGCCCACTCATTCCTTATCTGGCATGCGTGCCATCCAACTGGCCTGCGTTGTGCCTTTGCCCAATTTTTGGTAGGTGCTATTTTTCCTTTTCCCTCCCGACCATCAGCTGTTCCAACTATCAGCTGTGTCGGGAGATTTTTAGATTAGCTAGAAAGCAGGAAATCGTTCGATTTCTTGCTGTCTAGCTAATCTCAAAGCAGAGCTGAACCTTCCTTAGGACTGAAGCTTCTATTTTTCAGTGTAGACTCAGGCAGCAGATGGCAGAAAGGTGGATCTCTGAGTGAATCTGTGCTTCTGGGAGCAACTCAATCTGCCTGCCTGCTTTGCCTGGTTTTGGGTAAAAGTTGCTCTTTTTTAAATAAAAAAATGCAATAATTACATAAATATTTACATACAAGCCACGCTCAGCCAGTCACGTGACCCACGAAGCAACACCCAGTCAGCAAGCCATGCCCACCCAGTCACATGACCAGCAAGCCACACCCACAAATTAGGCCACGGACACAGAACCGGTTGTTAAGAAATTTGAATCCCACCTCTGGTCTTAGTACATTTCCATCATACACATTTCCTTGGAAAACTCAAACCAAACGGGAGGGATTGTACTGGTTCGGGACGGTTCGGGAGAACCGGTTGCTCTGAGCCGACCCATTCACCCCGGCTGTAGTCTGTGCTTTATTTCCGGGTTTTCCAGCTCATCTGATTTGCGCGGCATCAGCTGTTTTACACACAGGGCTTGCAGCGGAAGGTGACTTGCAAACGCTGCACGCGTTTGGCGCTCACCGAATCGGTTGTTACCCTGGTTGAATCCCACCCCTAAAACCAGGGTAGTGTGTAGGCGTGTACGTGCTTATGGTTGAGAGAGTGACATTCTTTTTTATTTTATCCCCATGTTGGCAAATCTCTTTGCAGTGCCGTGCGCTAACTAAATTAATAATAATAAATTAATTTGGAGTTTTGCTACTGGTAGTTCTTGACCTACAACCAACCACAAGCGAGGCAGTTTTCCCACCAATCAGGGAGTGTTGTCCCATTTTACCGCCTTGATTTGCCACCGTTGTTAAGTGGATCACTGCAGTTGTTAAATGAGTCACAAGGTTGTTAAGTGAACCACACACACACACACACACACACACCCATTGACTTTGTTTGTCAGAAGGTCACAAATGACAATCACCTGACTTCAGGGTGCTGCAACTGTCATAAATACATACCAGTTGTCAAGTGCCTGAATTTTAACCATGGAGATGCGGTGAGTGGTGCGGTGGCCTAAAGGTGGAGCTCTCACCTCACAATCAGGAGGCTGTGAGAGTTCGATCCCAGGTAGAAGCAGATATTTTTCTCTCTGGGCACGATGAGAATATATCTGCTGAACAAAACTCCGCATCGGTGACAGGAAGGGTATCCGGCCACTAAACACTCAGTTTCATTCAGTTGCCCCAACTCTACCCTGATGCAAGGGATTTATCATTAAAAGACCTATGGTTGTAAGTTGAGGACTGCAGAGGAGTGTCTGTGGGGTGTGGCCTAAAAAAATCAAGATGGACGCCATGAGAGTATGGCGCTTCCATTACGTTGCCATGGCGGCCATCTTTGTTGACCAAACCCCACCTCTGAAGAGCTGCCCTCTTGCAGCGTTCATTCATGGGTTCTTGCAACACACCCAGCAAACCAACAGTGGTGACCTTCCCTTTTCACTGGTCATCCTGTCCTCGGCCAGCTAAGATTGCCAGCTGGCTGGATCTCTGTGTGCCAACCTCAGCCCTGGCATTAGACCAATCGTTCAGGGCATTTTCCTACTACTTTGTCCATCCCTTTTCTTTATGTTTGTTGGATACCAGGCAACGTGGTGATCCACAAGAGAGAGGAGAGAATACAGAATAACAGGGTTGGTGTCTGAGTTCACCCAGAGCCCGTCAGCTCGGAATATGCCTCGCAGCAAGTCAGCTGGCCATGTCACCTTAACTCTGCTGCAGCCGGATCTGTATTTCTGCTTGTGCGCTGGCCGATGGCTTTGGAATGACTCAGCAGAGCTGAGGATGGATTCTGCAACAACTACGGGGAAGGAGGATGGATTCTGCA